AGACGTCATTGCCCTATATTCAGCTTCAGTAGAGGATCGGGCAACAACGTTTTGCTTTTTGCTTTTCCATAAAATGATATTACCTCCAAAGAAAACAAAATAGCCTGTAGTGAAACGTCTATCCATAGGAGATCCAGCCCAGTCAGCATCACAATACCCAAAAATTTGGGTATTTCCTTTATCTTCATATAATAAACCTTGTCCTGGAGCTTTTTTAATGTATCTTAAGATTCGAATGATAGCATTCCAATGATCCACACAAGGAGCTTGCATAAATTGGCTGACAACACCAACTGCAAAAGACAAATCAGGTCTAGTAATAGTCAAATAAATAAGTTTCCCAACCAGTCTTCTATATCTTTCTGGGTCAGAGAAAACTTCACCCTGTCCTGCCATTAATTTCAAATTTGGATCCATAGGACTGTCCATAGGTTTGCAATCAATCATACTTGTCTCTTTTAGAATATCTAGAGCATACTTCCTTTGAGAGATGACAACACCTTCTCTTAATTGAGCTACTTCAATACCCAAGAAATATTTTAGATTTTCAAGATCTTTGGTTTGAAAATGACTACACAAGTGCTCTTTTAGCTGAGTTATTCTAGCAGCATCATTCCCTGTGATGACAATATCATCAACGTACACAACTAAATAAACATGTTTGCCAGGGGCAGTGTGACAATAACACACTGAATGATCTGCTTCGCTGCGTTTTAATCCAAAAGCTTGAACAATAGAGCTGAATTTTCCAAACCAAGCACGTGGAGACTGTTTTAGGCCATTGAGAGATCGACGTAATTTACAAACCAAATCAGACTCCCCCTGGGCAACAAATCTAGGAGGTTGCTCCATGTAAACTTTTTCTTCTAAGTCACCGTGCAAAAAGGCATTTTTAATATCCAATTGATGAAGAGGTCAATGGCGAATGGCGGCCATGGCAAGGAACAGATGGACAATGGTCATTTTGGCTACAGGAGAAAAAGTATCACAATAATCAAGTCCATATATTTGAGTACCTTTTAGCCACTAACCTGGCTTTGAGACGATCAACCTGACCATTGGGCCCAACTTTAATAGCATAGATCCAATGACAACCAACTGTTTTCTTTCCCGAAGGAGAGGAACCAGCTCCCATGTTTTGCTGTGATCAAGAGCCTGCATTTTAAAAATCATGGCTTGTCGCCATCTAGGATGATCAAATGCTTCGACCACATTTTTGGGAATTGTAATAGAGGATACAGAGGAAATAAAAGAACAATAGGAAGGAGACAATCTATGATAGCTAAGAAAATTGTAAATGGGATGAGGATTACGAGTAGAACGAGTACCTTTGCGAATGACAATGGGCCAACTGGAGTCATCGTTATTAGGAGCCGGGGTGTTAGAAGATGATTGAGAAGGACCTGTTATAGATGACTCATCTTGTGGAATGAGATTGTTCACCTGGTTCCTGCGTTGATAGGTGATGATAGGTTGGGATGATGATTCTAGAGTATTTTGGTTGGGATTTGGGGTGTCAAGAATAGGAGGTACAAATGATTCAACTAAGGAGACAGGAAAAACATGTTGGACAGAATCAATATCCTGCATAGAATAAGGGAAGAAGGAGGATGATTCAAAAAAGGTGACATTAGCAGACATGTAGTACCTCTTGGTTTCAGGAGAATAAACACCGATATCCTTTTTGAAGACGAGAATACCCCAAGAAGACACATTTGATAGCTCTAGGTGAGAGTTTATCTAAGCCAGGAGACATATCATGAACAAAACATATACATTCCAAATACCCTAGGAGAAACATGAAAAATTGGTTCCTTTGGAAATAACTTTATTGTCAAGAGAAGAAGATGACATTCTATTAATGAGAAAGCATGCAGTTAGAATAACATCTCTCCAATGATGAATAGGCATATTGGCACCAAGCAATAAGGTACGTGCAGTTTCAACCAAATGCCTATTTTTTTGTTTTGCTATACCATTTTGTTGTGGTGTGTGAGGACACGTGGACTGGTGTAAAATACCTTGAGAATTTAGGACATTAGAAAAATCATTAGAAAAGTACTATTTGGCATTATCACTTCGTAAAACATTGATTACTTTTCCAAATTGAGTTTTGACTTCATTAAGGAAAGACTTAAAGATTGACAATAGTTCAAAGCGATCTTTCATAAGATAAATCCAAGTACATCTAGAAAACCCATCAATAAAAGTAACAAAATATCTAAAACCAAAAGACGAAACACGACTAGGTCCCCATATATATGAATGAACAATACTAAAAGCAGATTGCATCTAGATTCAGAATGATTTGGAAAGGATGACCTGGTATGTTTCCCTAGTTGACAGAATTCACATTCAAAAGTTTGAAGGTTCTGAAGTTCAGGAACCATTTTTTTCAATTTTGCTAAATGAGGATGCCCTAATAGCTCATGTAACAGTTTTGGGGATAAGGATGCAACACAAGATACAGATGACTTAGTCCTAAGATAGTATAAGCCTCTAGATTCATGTCCTTCTCCAATCAGTCGACCGTACCACGTTTCTGGATAACAAAACAATTGGCATTAAAGGTTACTGAGCAATTCAATGATTTGGTTAATTGATTTACAGAAACAAGACTGAATGGAAAAGAAGGAACACAAAGAACATTTTGAAGGTTTAAAGAAGAAGAGATGTTGACTAATTCCTTTAGAGACTACTTTAGATCCATTAGCTAAAGATATGAGATGGGAGGTTTTAGGAAATGAAAGAGAGAATAAAGAGGTATTACCAGACATGTGGTCAGAAGCATCTGAGTCAATAATCCATGGATTTTGAATTTCCACAGATTGCGAAATGCAAGCGGTTGATGAATTTGGTGTTGTAGATGCTTGAGCCAAATTGGTTGATTTCATCCTTAAATATTCTTGATACTCTTCATGAGAGAACTTGGGCTCATCAACTTCAAATTTTGAGGTATTAGCTGCCTTATCAGGAAAGCCATGCAGAGCAAAACAATTTTCCTTAGTATGTCCCATTCTTTTGCAATGAGAGCACTGAGGACGTCCTTTACCACCACATACTCTATTGCTGTGATTACCTCTTCCACGAGTAGAAACCATGGCGGAAGAATCAACATGATTAAACTCTCTGTAGAAGGAACTTCTTCTCCAGTTAGAATTTGGTCTCTAACATGATTAAATTCTGGATTCATAGCCCTAAGAATCATTACCATATAGAATTTATCCAGCTTCGTCTTTCTTTCCTTTAATGATTCTGCCTCCAGGAACATTTTTAATTCTTCAACTACTGATTGAGCTTCAGCAACAAAGGACATCATGGAATTATCCTCTTGCTTAAGGGAGACTAGTCTATTAGCAGAATCATAGAGTCGTTGAATATCATTAACAAAGATATTTTGGGTCTTTTTCCAAAAGGAATTACATGTCTTGAAGGATCGAAGAGTGCTCAAAATATTTGGTTCAACAGATTGCCATAATAGTGCACAAAGTTGATAATCCAGTTTCTTCCATTGAGGAGCTTGATCTGCTGGTTTAGTACTTCCATCTTCTTCTAGATGATCATGAACTCCTTGTCCTAGAAACCAGAGCTCAACAGAGGAAGCCCAAGACAAATAATTTTTCCTATTTAATTTTTGTGTTGTTATAGTCGGAGTCCCAGAAAAAGATACAGACACATGTCTTGACATTTTTCATGAAACAAGAGAGTACCAACATGCTGTCTATGGAAGCAAAGAGAGACAGATAGAAGACCGGGAGTGGCAGAGAGAAGACCTGTATATGGAGGCAGAGAGAGGACCGAGAGAGGCAGAGAGAAGAACGCAGACCCACCAACGTTTTGTGATAGAGAACACAAAACAAAGTGCAGATCTGGCTCCAAGGCGACGAGGCGAGCCGGATAGAGGTGGTCTGGAGCAAAACAGCCACCGGGAGGGCGGCGCGTGGGGCTCACGCATGGAGAAAGCCGCAGACGAAGGTGGCGCGTGAGGCAGAGACGGAGGAAGCAATCACTGGGATTGGGTCGCGCTCCTCGAGGTGAGCCTAACCCAAGTGTCAGAGAGAGAAACAGTGTCGGAGAAATACTGCACCGGCGGCGAACGGCGGTGAGCAACGATTAATGCCAGAAAAAAAAGAAGAGACAGGCAGAGCGGGATGAACCCGCTCTGATACCAACTTGAAATAGAAAAAGGAAAATGAAAAACTGATTTTGAGAGCCTGAAATCATTCTCTTGTGTTCTCTTATTTATAGAAGATAAATATACAGATTCGGAGATACAATTAATAGAGAGAAATGTTTAATCCTAGAGAAGATAAACAAATGCATTATAGGAACTAAGTCTACAACTAATCTCATAAATGCCCAACAAGATACAACTAATCTAATAAATACTTCAACATTTACGAAATGGTCGTTAGGAGGTGCTTATTAAATGGAAGAATCTGCCCAGGGAAGAGAGCACGTGGGAAGAATATGAAATGCTGCAAGCCATATTTCCCCAATTCAACCTTGAGGACAAGGTTCCTCTTGAAGGGGAGGGTATTGTTAGGTCTAAGCCAACGGGACCGCCATTTAAAACATATCAAAGAAGAAAAGGTAGAATGGGAAAAACACCCAAGGAAACTGTTACAGAGAATGATAACAGATTAACAAACTAGTATATGTGGCAAGAATGAAGAGGGGAGAGAATAGAGGAGTGAGAACTGTTTTATCTAGCTTTACGTGGAGAGAGAGAGAGGGGGTGGGGGGTGGGGGGAATTGGTAAGGAGGTTATTGGAGGATGACTTCGTTCTTTTGCTCTGTTTTTCATTGTTTTTATGTGCAACATCAGGGACATTCCCTGTGTTGATTTTTCTTGATTCAATAAAAATCTCAGTTCCTATCAGATGCACTTTTAGAACTGTGGATTTTTGGTTTTATACGGAGATATACTTTTATTCAGTTCTCTTTGCATTGTGGCTCATATATATATGAAGTTGGTATAACTTTTTTTTTCAATGCAGTTGGCGAGTTTCACTTGCAATGCCAGAAGGCACAACTGTGAAGCTACCACATTGTTTGAAGCCTGCAGAAGAGTTCACTATTGATCAGGTTGTGTCTGGTTTCTTATATCATTAATGCGTTTTAGCACTGTATATGAATTGGTTAGGCTTGTTTTTCATATATTTTCTTGAGCATAGAGTATTTGGTTCCCAAATGTACATCCTTATATATGTAGCTAGCAGATTAAGTTAGCAGTAATCTTTGGTAGTTCCCAAATGCACGTCCCTTGTATAGCTGTATCAAAGGATTAGGTTAGTAATCTTTGATGTTGTTTCAAGTTTTTCCTGAACTCACAACTACCTACCACAATGATGAAATATCAATTTTTTGTTCAAGTGCATACGATGACTCATTGGGGCATGCTTATTTTGTAAATTTTAATCAAAAGATACTTTTATACAGTATGTGCCCAATTATTTATTTATATACCTTGTCAAGGTCTTTCTAGAGTGTCACTCTGATTGAACTTGATTTTTTACAGGAATAGTTGTTTCTTGTACACTCAACTTGCTATTTAGTGTTAAATTTGGAAAAAGGCTGCAAAGTATTTGATTCGGCATGCAACTTTTCACAATTTGTTTTTAAATATTTTCTCAATTTTTTTCTGTCCAATTTATTAACATAATTTTTTTGGAGGGATTGTAATATGCAAAGTTTCTTGTGTCTGCTCTCTGCAGGGCTTTGAAATTGAGGGAGAACTACCAGAGAAAGTTGCAAGTTATGAAGGCGTGTACTATAATTACTTCAGCATAGGTACTTTGATATGTATATCAGTAGTGTTGTACAATGAAAATTTCTGGATTATCGTCTTGTCTATTTTAGATTGTGCTTAGATGGTAGTTGAGATTATTCATTGAGAAAGAAATACTACTTTCGTGAGATACTATATGTTAGTTGTATGACATGTTATTTTTTAACCAAGTTGCTCCTTGCATGGTATTAATGCATCCTAGGGAGTATTTCCAGAATGAAGTTACTGAATTATCATGTATGTTCTCATATGTTTACTGCCCGATGTTTGGCTTTTGGGCCTACAACTATTTTGTGCTACAATGGCTTCAGAAGCTAAAGTAAGATTTGAGCATGGCATTGGGATTGTCTCACTGAAGTTAATTGAGAATTCTTTTTGCACCTTAGATTTTATGTTGTTTTTGTTTTCTTCACCTGTTTATGTGTGTGTATTGTGTATGTACAATGTAGAAGCTTACGGTGCTACAACTTTTTTGGCTTTGGGTGTTGATAGAATGGAAAAGATTTCAGATAGCTCAATTGAATCTCTAATCTGTATTTCTACAGGAATGGATGCCCAAGTCGCTTATGGCTTTCATCATCTACGCGATCAAAAACCTTACCTTGCAAGTGGTCCAATTTCAAATAAGGTATGGAAGTTATGGAGTCCTCGAATATGTTTTATAAATTACCTTCTTGCTTGCTTCAGTTTACTTAATTTAATGTTACAGTTTTTAGAAGGTGATCTATATTCTTCTTTTTATTTTGTCCTTTTGCAGCTCACTGTGATTAACATATTAACATAAGGGTTAACAGTCTAATAGCTACTATGTCTTCTATAAATGATATAATAGATTATAGTCAATATGAATTGTGATCATCATTGATCAATCCTTTTCTTCTCGGTTGCAGATTATATACTCAGGTTACAGCTGCACACAAGGCTGGTTTTTCACTCCTTGCGTAAGTGATCCAGGTCTAAGGTAAGATATGCCAGCTAAAGCAGTTTTATCTATTTGTCAACTCAGAAAAAGCAAAATGCTCATGTGATAATTTTTGCTTCTTGTTTTTTCACCTTGCGTGAAACAGACATTACTCTTCATAAGAAAAAACTATTTTACTATTGCAACAAGAATTATTCTTTTCTTAATGTAAAAGAATTGGAAATATGAATTGACAAAGGATCTCTTCTACCTACAGTCTTGTCTTTTGAAATTTATATTTGTTTCCGATAGTGAGGAGTTTCAGATCATCTGCTTGCTGATGGATTCTCACATTTACGTTAGGTCATTTGCAAGTTTTGTGTCTATTATTAATTTTTATAGGGCCCCACTGATTCAGTGACTAGAGAAAGACATACAAAACGCTCATTAAACATGACAGAAATTTTTACAGGGGAAAATGCATAATCTGTTTAATTTGATGTGATTCCACCTTTTGAGTGCAAGCTGAATATGTTTTTTACTCTATTCAGCATGGAACGCAGTGCTGTGATTGCTTGTTATTCTTTAAGTCCTATGCAGGGTTGTCAATCATGTGCTATATAGCAGTGTAGTGGTTCGTAAGAGCCCCTGGCTGGTATATGCGCTGCTGCCATAGTGTTTTAGTGTAATTGCTGCACTAGTGCCATTTTGTGGCTATAGCACCACTATGCTGATGATGTCCAAAATCCTCGGATGTTCCTTCATTATTAACTTTAGAGGGACATTTTATGGAGGTAATTTTTTGGATTTTGGGTGAAAAAAGAGTTTCAGCATGTAGAAAACCCTTTTAAAGCTCGTAACTATCATGCCACACTTGTCCTCCTATGCTGTGACTGCTACATGACCCCTATGTGACCCTCCAAACTCCTTACTCCTATACTTGTTTTTTGATTCTCTCTCGTTCTCTGTTTCTCTTGTAATCTTGTTCTCACATCTTTCCATGGATTTCAACATTGCTTATGTTGATACAAATTATCATGAGAGACGAGCGTGTATTATGATTATTTATATTGAAACTCAGTGGCTGAAGATATGCCTTCTTTAACATTTAGCATGCAGATTTTAAGGTAGATTTGCAGAAAAATTTAATGGTGAAAATTATATGGTTAAATCCAGAAGGATGATGTATGTATAGAGGCATTATAGGAAGGAGAGCAGAATTTCCTTTAGTGTTTCATTTTCTTTTTCATTTTTTTGAAAAGGAAGGACTTCGGACATAGTTACTGTGCTATATCAGTTGTTATTGTGACAAGCTTTTACATTGTTGCTTAATTGGCGTAGATGTGCCACTTAATCTGAATATGGATTCGGTTTTCCTAATGAAAATATTCCAAGTCTCTTGCTATCTCCCTCTGCTTTTACTTTATACTAAATACTGGCTCACCTTGCTTCTGTTTGCAATTCTTTTATGTGTCATTAGGGGACTTAAAAACATTTTGCGGATGCATATCAAAAGGATCAATAGCTCAGAGTGGGAGCAGATTGCAATTCCTACAAGGTACATTTCTCATCTATAGTATAATTGTTGCTGGTGTATATTATTAAGTGGTAATCAAATCAATGTTTCCAAGACAGGCCGATGGATACGGTAGTAATTAGTTAGGTGTTCGCTGGAAGGGAGTTGGTTTGGATAGTTGGGCAGGCTTTCGATAGTATAAGAAATAAAGCATATTACCTCTAAATAAAGAGGGGAGGTTGAGAGAGAAAATATTTGAGAAAGTGTGAAGTGGGCAAAGTTGTAGTCTCTCGAATATCCAGGGAAACCTTTTTTTTTTTTTGTATCTTCTAACCCTAACCTAGGCTGTTACCACATTGGCACCACAATTCGGATTTTATGTTCATTAATAAAAATTATTCTTTCGCTTAGATCCTGGACCAGTTCTATCTCAGGAATCATTTGCCTTTTACCATTTTTGTAGTTTGAAGTTTACATTTCTTCCTTCGTCATTGTTATGACTTAGAAATTCTAATTAAATTTTACTACATTGTAATGTAGCAAGACAACTCAATATCTTCTGTGTTGTTCTGGTCCACTTTGCATGATATGGTTACGTTATTTCTTTCAGTGTAAGGGCAATAGTTGCGTTGAATCTTCATAGCTATGGAAGTGGGAGGAATCCATGGGGTAAACCAAAACCAGAATATTTGGAAAAGGTATGTTGCCTAAGACAATACCTCGTTAAGGTGATGATATGAAAACATTCAATCTCATGTTCCTTTTATTCATAAAAAATATCTAGGGATACATGTTGTATAGCTGAATATAAGAAAACTTGTTTAAAATGTTAGGATTATTAAAATTTAATTATGTTTGACTGAATAGACACTTTTATGTGCTTTCAGAGAGGCTTTGTTGAAGCTGATGTTGCCGATGGGATCTTGGAAGTATTTGGTTTAAAACAAGGATGGCATGCATCATTCGTCATGATTGAACTGATATCCGCAAAGCACCTAGCTCAGGTACCGCAATTTATTGTTTGTGTTGGTGTGAATTACTTACTTAGGTTCCTTGACTGCTTGTGTCTGAGAGGTTAGCACGTTCTAAATAATAACTAGTTGCCTTGGCTTGTTCGATTGAAGAGTCTCAATACTATTTCTTCGTCTCTGTTGATCATCTTTACTTTATATATGGCAAGATCTAGCAGTAAATGTTGGACAAATATGTCAGTCTTATGATTTTTAGCACCTCGGCCAAGAAACTAAGTATATCTTGACCACCCGGCCCAAGTGTTTTTCTGGGCAAAACTGGTGAAAAAGATACTAGCCACTTAATTGGAAATTCACTGACTAATATGTCAATATCAATTGCTAATGACTAAGTGAAGGATACCGGCCCTATTTGCAATACGACTTGTATCTAGTGTTACCCGACTAAACAATTTTAAAACTTCATACAACTCAAATTTGACTTGTATAGCAGGTTCATCCTCTTTTCTTTTTTATGGAATTTGCTGACAAATCTGATCATAGCCCACCTCTTTGAAAGTTAATGGTCTTGGTCTCTTCTCTCTTTTTGTTTATATTGCCATCATTAACTGCGTTGTGAAACTGTCTTTCTCAGTGACCAGTACCACCACTGGTTTCTGACTGTTTAATTCTATTTATATCTTTTAGGCAGCGGCTGTTCGATTGGAAGTGAGAGGTGGACAGTGGAAAAATGCCTATATGCAAATGGACGGAGAACCCTGGAAACAGCCATTGAGCAAGGAGTTCTCCACATACGTGGACATTAAGAGGGAGCCTTTCCAGAGTCTTGTTATCAGTGGAAAAAAGTAATTCTTAGGTGGTTGGCTTTTCCACAGCTTGGATTCATGAAAGGCTTTTGTACTATATGTAACCTTAGGTATTGACTCTCCACTACATGGAAAGTTTGATGTTGTACAAAATATGTCTTTTGTTGTTTTATTGCTAAAATCTTGTTTATGCTTAGTGAGAGTAATTTTTTATGGTTTCCAGACCTGGCAGGTAGTCATGGAAGGCATATATGTATATGTAATCTCGGGCATTGGCGGTCAGTTATATTTGTATGGAAAGGTTGTGAAAACAATTGTTTTTTATTTTATTTTTTATTTTTTGTTGATGTGGGTAATAACATATTCGCTATGGTGGGTGAAGTTGTATGAAAATTACCCCGTATCACAGGAAATATAAATAATAGATCCTACTCTATCTAAATAATGGAATATATAATTATATAAAGGATACAACTAATACAAGAAGTCATACTTTGAAATATTTAATCACTTAACTTTATCTTAAATAATAAGTAAGAAATCATGGAAACCAAGTAACAAACAAAACAAATTAAAACACCTAGTTACTTAAATTTAACTAATCTAATCAAAATATTAAATTATAAAAATATTTATCGTTTATGATAATTATATTTAATTTGAATAATAAATTTGACTATAATCTTTTATAAAAATCTTATGATGAACAAAAGTGAATTTAAGAGTCATAAACTAATTTTACAGTTGTAGGAATAGTATTATTAAAAGTTATATAATACAATAGTTAAAACAGATAATATATTATTAAACTCGTAACATGAAGTGTAATTATTAATATTTTTCTATATCTTATTTTTTTTATTAAAATTAAAACTTATGATATGAAACGTGTTATTTATACTTCACATTATCTTGAAGATTTTTTTTTCCTCTTTCATTTTCATTTTTTTTTCTCTTAAATTTGGAATATCCACTCTTAATGTCTAAAATGTTCTAGGTATGTTGAGTCTTATCATACATATATATGTAATTGAAAATTGTTTGGTTGTCGTTAATGTTGTCAGAGAATGCAAGAATAACCTCCTTTAATCTTATGACAAAAAATTTTGTTGCTGGGTCAATTCTCTTTTGTTCTCTTTAGGTCAATTAGATCCTTCGACGACTAATTACATCCTCAATTCAATGGTTTTATTTAATGATTTTTTTTCTTTAGTGGAATATTTTATAGATATTAAATAAAATATTATGTGCGAAACCGTAGAATAATATAATTCTATTATTTTAAGCACAATTTTGAGTGCAATGCTTTAATATCTACAAAATTACATTTTAAAATGGATGTTTCTATTGTATTTTTTCAATCAAATTTAAGTAAAAATCATAATGTGTTCACTGCCTTTGGTTAAGCTGATATGATTTGTTTGGGAAAACTTTTTCTACAAACTTCTATTTTAAATTAGAAAACAATTTGATCATCATTTCATTCCAATTTTATAACGTATGTTTGCAACAAGTTGGCATGTGTGTGGTTCTGGTCATGACAATGTATTACAATAATACCATAAATTCACTTTATATATCATGTTCTTATAACAAGGTCTGTCGAATTTTAAGACTTTGTATTAGATAACAAAATTTGATTGAAATATAGTCCCTCTATATTTTTATTTTTACAGACAAATGTCTATCGATTAATTGATTTGTAGCATGTAAAATCATATTCAGATTGACTATATAATTTTCGTTGGTAAATCATCGGAAACAAGTTGAAATATTTTCTACCGGCTTGGTTTACTCTTTGTCCTTATTCTTGCAAACTTACACTCACAATCCCTAAATCTTTAAATCTTGCTAAACTGCAGCTCAGCTCATAAAAAAATCATAAATAAGAAAATACAGCTCATCTTTTTTTAAAGTCCTGGTTAAATTCTTCAAGACTCATTGGGGTGCTTCAATTTCATTCTCACAAAAAGTATAATAATATAAAAGAAGAAAACATGAGAAAAATAGAAAAACCTGAAAACAGAGAAGGAAAAAAAAAAGTTGAAATCAAAGAGATACACAAAAATAAAAGACACCAGCATCAAACGTAGTGTGATTATTTTTAGCGAGATTTTTAATTTTATCATAAATTTGAATCCAATACCCTTCTTATCTCGTATAATAAACTTAATACATATGCGTGTACATATATAATTTCCACATGCAATAAGGAATCTATCTTTGGGAAGGTCTTAACCCACTGTTCCGTGTTTTGAAAGTGGAATGGGTGACAAATACCTCTCACTCAATGATTTAGCCATCAAAATGAGCCTTTGCCATATCATTCTTTCTGAAACTAACAACGCTAATAAAGTAGAAATCCCATTAATCAAGAAGAGCCCTGCAAAGCTATGAAAGTTGAGACTGAGAGGAGCGGAAGATATTTCCGCAGACGAGTCTTCTCCTCCATTATCATTCTTCCCAAAATACTTTTCCTCTATTTCATTCATTAACTCGCTTTCAGTCACATTCAGGATGGCTCTCGAAAAATAAGCCGTGAGATTGGAGTTTAAAGGGAATACCTGAAAATAATATAAATTAGTTAACTTGTTATTATATGTTTAGTTAAATTACCTCACTTGCAAAGCAATACAGAGTCAGATTCAGCATAGACGAATTAGTTATGACTTCTGTATTGTATATGTGTTTGGTGTACCTCGTAAATAGAACAAGGCAAAATATACGCTAAAACTGTAAAGCCTGGTATAGTTTAGTCTTAGTATTACAACGACAACAAACAAGAAAACAAAAGTAAAGAAAAAGAACCAAAAGACAAGCTTGTACAACTGAATTAGAGAGAAGACACTTACAAAACCAAACCCAGTATTTCTATATATCGGGCCGACCAACATACAATTGGATCCGTATTCTTGAAGGTATACTTTAAGATAGGGCACTTCATCGAATATGGCTGCAACACCCCCATTTTGGCTTCCAATCTTTAGAGCATCATGATACTGAGAAATGTTGCTGTATGGCCGTAGTTTGGACGGGTCAAACTTAAATTGCTCAACCAACACATCGTAAACGAAAGACCCAGATTGGTATCCAACGTAATAACCCCCTTTCCTTAGATCATTAATGTTCAGAAAACTGGGTCGCAGTTGATCCAAGGTCAATATAGATGTCAAGTTAGCAGTGTAACTTTGCATGAGGACGAACGCCAACAGAAGCCAAACCATCAACACAAATCTTGAGCAGTTTTTCACCACTACATGTCCTGAAAATCCAAAATTTTGAAACCAACTGTGGTAATTAATCACACGTATAAATTATAGAAAATTAAAACATTAATCAACATCAAATGTGTAATTACTTTCAGGAAGAATGGCTTGCGAAATTGGAAACCATAAGACGGTTGCAGGGCAAAGCTTTGTTTGATTCGAAGAACCCTCTTGATTAGGCAACGTGTTTACATTTCTTTCCATGATGAATATGGCGAGCCCTATCAACATAGAGATGATGATTATGCTCAACCAAAGATCCCAACTGAAGGGTTTAACAAAAGTCCACATGTTTTGATCCCTCCCATGTTGAACTGGTACTAGCATTTTAACACCTGATCCAGTATATGGCAGTGTGAAATCTACAAATTTCGAACGTTTGGCCAGGATCGTTACATCTCCTACCACAACTTGGCACTTCTTTGAGCAAAGAAAAAGTAGTTCGTCGTCAGATTTTCTGGCTTAAATACAAAAGACATGTATAAGATGAAATTTACTGACCGTTGTCAAGGTTTGTTTTAGATGTGCGTGGTATCTTCTATAAGTCACGCTTGGTTCAATAACAAAAGGTTCAACGTATAGAGAAACATTGAAGGGTAAGCGGGTTACAACGGCATTGAAAACATCCATGCAATATCCAGAGGCGTTGTACTTTTGTTGACGAGGGTCCCAAACTACATTCACAAATTGGTGGAAACCGTTTCTCATGGGTACCTTTACTCTTAACTTGATCTCTTCACATTTCAATGTAGCACATGACCCATTTCCCGTTGGTGCCTGTAGTAGCACAAGCAAAACAATAAAAAACCAAGAAAAAAGGTATAAGAAGCACTTATCCATTGTGTATAGTAAATACAAGCTACTACTTTCAATCATGACTACAACAATAGATCGTTATTCATTACCTCCTCTTTATATAGAGTGCGTCCATTGGAGAATGCTTGTCAATAATGGATTCACAAAAATGGAGACGATGATGCTTAAGGAAGTCCTGGGACCCATGGCGTCCCACCCGTCGCTAAAATAGTCAAAATATTGAAAGTGCACACATGGATGGATAATGTAGAAGGAAATTTCGTGGAAAGACAGAGTGGACATTTTTCTTGCTTAAGACATGGTGTGTTGCTCTTGTCAGTGAAGACTTCACTCAACCTTGTAGACTAAGTCAACCAACCGCGAACAAGTAAAACCGCGAGAGCGTTTTAGGTCACTTTCTAAAATTAATTTCGTTTGGAATTAATTTTATAAAATTCATTTTGAAATGGTAAAATTATATTTAGATATTTTTTAAAATAAAATTAATTGTAAAATTTAGTATTTTTTTTTATATAACATACAAATTATTCCAAAATAAATATTTGATTTTTTTAACATAATAATTCAATGTAAATTCAAATGCAAACTACATCTTTATACGAATATATGCTTGATGTTTATATATAATTATATATTTTTTAATTTAAAAGTTATGGAAATTATTTTTCAAATAAGTGTTTTCAAAATAAAAATAGTTGGGAATGTTTTTTCTTTGTGTGTACTTGAGTGTGTTAGCCAAATTAATTTTGAATAAAATTATTTTATAAAGTTCATTTTGTTAAAATTAATTTTGGTTTATTTGTATTTTGAAATTAGGTTGTAGTAAAATAAATTATAGTTTTTTTTTAAATCTAATTCAACAATCACTTGACGTTAAAAATAATTGGGAGTGTTTTATGTTAATATGTATTTTATAGAGTGTTAGTAAAAATAATTTTTAATAACATGGATTTTATAAAGCTAATTTTATTAACATTATTTGTATTTGAATACTTTTATTTTAAAATTTAATAAGAATTATGATTTAATTGAATATTTTCATCATTAAGTGTTTTAACTTTTACAAATTTTGTCATTGAACTTTTAATCTTACAAGTTTACTATATAAATTTTATCTTTTGTGAATTATATGTCAATTTATTAATGATGTGATGTAATAATATAATTATTATAGAGTAGATTCAAGATGAATATAAAATTTATTTTTTAAAAATAATAAAAATTATATTTAAAAATTTGTTTAATTGCACATTCTACAGAAATTTAACTTTCATTAATTTTACTATTTGAATTTCAAAATTATATGTATTCCATTTACAAGTTATTGTTCGCAATTATTCTTCCTCACTTCAATTTTATGGAAAAATAAAATTAAGGATAATTTGGGAAAGGGAATGTAACAGTAGGAGGGGAGTGTAATATATATTTCCTTTCATCACACCCCATCAGATGAAGATTAAAAAAACCAACCCAGACCCAATTATATGACAAGCTGAGATTAAAATAAATAAAAATATTATTATTTAAATTAAATCAAATCAATATTTATTTCATCTGTTTAATTTATAAATTAAATGAATTTAGATAGGATGATCTCCTAGACTCATTCTATAAAATAATATTTATTTTTAATAAAAATAATATAATATTATTTTATTAATATATTTTATAAATTAAATTAAAAAAATAATTATATATTATATTAAAAAAATTTATTTTAAATTACCGTATTGACAATTAAAAATAAAAAAATTTAATTTGTATTATTTTAATTAATGAATAGTTTTTTTATAATTTATATATTGAATTATTATATATAAAAAATAATTTTATTAATATAATATAATAATTTAAGTATTTTTATTTAAAATAGTTTTTTAATTTTAAAACTAATTTTTTAAATAAATATATATTTCTTTTCAAATAAACCCATATGAGGGAATGATCGAAAAATTATAATTCATTTTTAAATATATGTAAGTTGAGTATTAATTTTTTTTATTTAACTAAGTTGGGTTATAGAGTTCACTTTTCAATCCTACATCAGTCACTGCTCCGTATAATGAGTTTTCTGTACTTTAATTAGACAGTTAGAAAAAGGATATTTATATATTACATATAATCTTAACATATTATAATTAATAATTCTAAAAAGTCTATAAATAAATTATAATTTTTTTAAATAAAAATATTATTAAAATTAAATTATAATATATATATTATTATAGTGCCTAGAAATAACTTATTTTTCTGTCATACAAATAATTGATCTAACTAAAATTTGAATATTGACGCTTGAGACTGAGTATTGTGTAGTATTCAAAGTAACTTACTCCAGAGTATATCTTATCCTAAATATTATGAAGACGAACGTATGAGGTCCGTTTACAAATTTAGGATGAGATAATGATGAGAACTTATAACAATCAGATACAAGCTCGAGACTGAGGAAGTTTGTAGTGTCCAGGACCCCTACTCATGTGTAGGATCCACCCATATGTAGAACTTAGATTCTGACCTATTAAACAATCGATATAATATAAAAAAAATCGATCAGTTATATAACCGACCTCGTGAATCGGACGTATAACAAATGTTACATATAAACGTTGTATATAAGACTTAAATATCTATTTCCTAACAAGATATTCTACAAGGTCTCGGCCCAATATAAAAAACCTACGACTAGGTTATGAGGGAAAGATAAGTATTAGTATTTTACAACTAACAATTATATATCTATATATATTAGTTAAATTATATACCTAAAAAATATAGAAACTAAAATAATATAGGACAATATTTAAAGAGATTGGAAATATATTTAAGTTAATTGTTTTGTATTAATTTTAAACTAGATAGGGTTAGAAAAAATTATAATAATATACTACATGTAATTTGAACATATTATAATTAATATTTCTAAAAGTAATTTCTAAAAAAATTCTATTTTTCTTTAATAAAAATATAATGTTAAAAATCAAATTATAAAATGAAAAAAAATATAATAAGTTTATTTATATGAAATAATAAATATCTATCTTAATTAAATTATATACATAAAATATATAATTGTCTTAACTTGAAATAACATTTATAATTTTAATCTATATTGATCTAACCTAATTTATTTTGACTTAATCCAACCCATTTTGATTTAACTTATTTTAATCTAATTCAATCTTTTTTAACCAAGTTCAACTCGTTAGTTAAAGTAGGTTTGACATACCTTGACCCAACTTATTACAACTTCACTCATTTTAGTCAAACCTGATTTATTTTGATCTAATACATTATTCTTTGCCTAACTCAACCTATCTAATCGACTCATCCTAACATATTAATCTAATCCGGCTTAACCTAATATTCCTAACCACTAGTACAGGAAGTACATTTTACAACAAGATAAGTATTGGCAACAAAAGGAATTAAAAAACCCTAAACCTTCATCCATGCCCCTCGCCGCAAACCCTAATCCCAATCCAACACTGCTCCCTCTATCACCCGCGTTACTCTTTCCTGTTGGCACTCCCCCGCAGCTCCTCGGCGTTCTCCATCCGTCATTCTGCCCGCTCGCTCCTTAGGCACCACAATTCTCCCCCGTCCCCGCGCCCCACCTGGTTTACCAAAAACCTACCGTTTTGCCGCCCGACATTGCCAGTGCCCCCGCGCCGCCGCAGATGCAACCGATGATGTCGTACCAGGTTCTACTCAACAATCCGGTCATGCGACCCTTCGCTCTGATCCCTAACGGCTACACTCCATCTCCGACCACAAACCCCCGGGAATTGTAGGAATGAGAGGTGTAGGTGGAGCTACAGCGTGGGACTCAAAACGAGGGATTTGAGGGTCATTTAGGGCGTGTCTTAAGCTCCTCAACATCGTATTTTTTCACGAATATTCCGAAGCCACATGAGATCAGTGCTCCATGGAAAATTTTTCGGTGGTGGGATAAGGTGGTGGATGTGTTTTTATCCAAAAAACTTTATAAGGTAAGTCATAGGTTTGAGTTTGTTCGTTTCGCAGATGTATGTAATGCGGAGGTGTTGGAACGGAGATTGAGATCAATTGTGATTGGTACAAAACGATTGAAGGTGCATTTGAGCCATTAGGCTAGGGGTCCTGCGACTGCGGTGAAATTACATTGCTTCAGGGAGGGTGTGGTTAGGCGATTAGGTGTTGGTGGTTCCTCATACGTAGATGCTCTGCGTGGTCCTCAAACTACGTTGGCGGAGGAAAGTCCGACGATGGTTAGGGTTGAGGGAAAGCGGTCAGAACAATCTTGGTGTCCCTTACACAATGAAGTGGAGGAGTCGTTTCTTGAGGAGTGCTTCCAGACTCTCGTTGGTTGCCTCCATCACGGACAGGACTTGGCTACGGTTAGGAAGGAGGTGTTACAGGCGAGCTTCTCAGATATTGTCTTGACCACGATGAGAGATGATAAAGTCTTGATTGAGTCGGATGCAAGGGTGAGCTTGGAGGATACTGTGTTGCTGAATATGAAGTTTTGGGAGTGTTGGTTTTACGAAGTCGGTTGGTGGCATCCAAGGACAATGGTGTGTGTTCATAGGGAAACTTGGGTCCGCTGTTATGGGGTGTCGTTACATGCGTGGTCTGAGACATTTTTTAAGAAGATTGGATTATGGACGTGTTCAATTGCGTACATCGGCATCGACGTTGATAAATGAGGGGACTAAAGTACTTATTAATGATTTATGCTTTCTGATACGTATGGTGGAGGAGCATGACGGTTAGTTCCATGCGGATATTGTTGATGATGCATCCTTGAATGGCTCTGATTATATGGAAGGCGCATCTCTTAACTTGCATGAGGTCGAAAATTATTCGTCGGAGGAAGAAGGGTGCATTCTAGATGGAGTGGCTAGTGTATGGTCTGGGACGGTGGTTAACACGCTTACTGTGAGGGTTGTTACGGAGGAGTAATTGTCTCCTAATGATAAGGGAGTGGGTACGGAGACGGTGGTTGAGGGAATCCTGGAAGTGTTGCCTTCAGCGAGGATACATGATTCAAAATTGGAGGCGATGAGGGAAGGGGAGTTGTTAGTAAGTGTGGTTGCTATGGAGAGAGGATCTGGAGAGGAGGGTGGTGCTGTTAGCATTGGACAGGGGTGTGATTGGGAAGTAGTACGGGATGGTGGCCGAATGCATGTGTCGACCGGAGATGTTGGACAAGGTGGTGTGGTGGAGAGTATGGGTGATGTACAATCTAAGGGGGTGAGTACGCAGGAGCTGTTGTGTCATATGGGTGAGGTAGATGGGTTTGGTAGTGACCCGTTTGGGTTGGATCAATTTCTTTGGACAGAGCATGCCCAGGAAGTATTGAGGGTGGCACATGACATTGATGTTCCTGTGGTCTCCCTTCCAGCCAAATTGGGAGTTTCCATCGTGCACTTATCGTAGGAATCTCAGGTGCCAAAAGAGTGGCCTTGATGCGTCGGTGGTGGATGGGGTCTCATGGATGGTGTCAGATCATGTTGCATTGGATAATGAGATTGACGTGTTTTCGGAGGTTCACCCTCTACGTTCGAATGATGAGGTGGTGGCAGATAAGGTGATGAAATTGATTCGTTCAGTGAGGATTGTGGTGCGGGATAATGAATCCGAAGTGAGGGAGAAATTAGTGGCGTTAGAGATCCGTGACAGAAAATTGGTGGAGGAAAAGATGGGAGAGTTTGTTCATCCATGAATATAGCTTCTTTCAATTGTAGGGGTCTGGGGTCGAAGGTTAAACGTTGTCGTGTTTTCGAGTTGATTAGATGTGAACGTGTGAATTTTATTGCGTTACAGGAGTCGAAGTTGGAGGGTTGTGACCGCCAATTGTGCTCGCGACTCTGGGGTTTGTCTAGGTTTGATTGGCTGAGTTATCTTTCTTAGGGGCGTAGTGGTGGACTTATTTCGATTTGGGACTCAACTCAAGGTACGTTACAGTTCTCCTTTTCTGGTTTGGGTTTCTTAGGTGTCTGTTTGAGCTGGGGAACTGGTGATGTTCGGTGTATTGTGGTCAATGTGTACTCTCCATGTCGCTTGTTGGATAAGAGAAAGTTGTGGGCTGATCTTGTTATCACTACTAGAAAAATGTCAAATAGTAACCGAAATCAGTGACCGAAAAATTTAGTTACTATTAGTGACCGAATCGATAACCAAATTATTATTTTTTAGTCTAGTAATCGAAATAAGTAACCGAATTTTCAGTACAAAAAATCTAGCATTATTTCGACTCACTTTATTATTTAGTAACTCGATTTAGTGACTAAAATTTCAGCTACTAAAAAAATAATTTTTAAACTCGATAACTATTTTTCATTTATATAAATATTTTATTTAAAATATTTTAAATATAAATTTACTTAATGATTTAAAATAATTGATAACATTTTTAATAAAATTATAAATATTTTAAAAAAATTGTTTACTAACTTATTAAATAATTTAGTAATATAATTATTTGATTTTATTTTTTAATTTAGCATGTGAATAAAAAAATTAAAATTGATTATTAAATTAGTCACCGATCTGATCATCGATTCTGGCCACCGAATCTGATCACTAATTCGATCACATCGATTCGGTCACCGATTCTAGTCATCGATCTGGCCACCGATTCTATCATCGATTCTGGTCATCGATTCGATCATCGACCTATCACTAAATCAATAATTAAATTAATTATTAATTTAGTCTCTTTATATATATATATATATATATATATATATATATATATATATATATATATATATATATATATATATTACTTGTATGTTAATAAAAATGTATTTCAATGTATTTATAAAAAATTAAAATTATTTTAATTACTGAATTGATATTTTAAATTTATATTAATATCTTGAATAATTTAATAGTTGGATATATATATATATATATATATATATATATATATCACTTTAATTTTTTTAATTAAAATTAATTTCATAAAAAAATTAATATTTGAAAATTAAAATGAAAATATATATATATATATATATATATATATATTTATTTTTTAAAGATGATATATTCAATGTATGTTAAAAAAGTTCAAGCCAAACTGCTTTTATAGAAGATTTTCAAAACTCGCTGTTTAATTAATCTGCTAAAAGATTCTTTTAATATGTTAAAAGTGCAGCTTTAATCTGTTAAAACTTCTTTTAATCCATTAATACGTTCTTGATTCTTTAACAGATTTGTTTTAACTAATACGACAACGCTTATATCAATTAAAACACTTTACAAAAAATCTTTTAAGTTGATTTAATCGATTGTTCGCTATTCAATCGGTTGAAATACTCGCAAAACTTTCTCCTAAAACTTTTCAAGTTATTTTAACTCGATAAAAATAAGTTTTAATCGATTAAAACGTTGTGCGTGAACTGCTTTAATCGATTGAAACGAGATTTAATCGATTAAAATAGTTATGATCGGCCATAAATGAATTCTCGACTGATCATAATTGAAACCATATAATAGTGGTTCAAGGGTTAACCGCTATCTAAGTCATATTTTAAGAGCTGGCTCGTGTAACCGCTATGTAAACCTCATCTCGCTTGAGCGACAATATTCTCGCCGAGCTAAACGCCCCTGCACAAAATTAGTACTCTCGGTTGTATTTCGCTTGAGCGAGCCTATCTCGCTCGAACGATAATTGATTCTGATCGATTATATTTTTGAAATGATCGATCATATTTGGTAATTTTTTCAAATAATTAATTATAATCGATTAGTTTTCTAAATTATTGATTAGAATTGATTAGTTTTTCAAATAATAGATTAGAATTGATTAATTTCTAAATATATACTAAAAAATATAATTAAAACTATAAATTAGTTAAGAATATTGACTATTGTAAAGATAAAGTAGAAACATGGGAGGAGATTGAGGATGATAATATAATGATAGAACTTACAAAAATGTAGAATTGAGAAGTTTGAAACAAATAAAAATAAGAAAATAGATATTTAATTACACTTTTAATAAATTTAAGATAATACTAGTTTTAATTTTTATTTTTAAATATTTATTTTAAATATTTAAAACAGAGAAACTATAATTTTAGTTTCTAGCTATCTAATTTAAAGAATTAAATTTATTATTTAATCTTTTAATTTGTAGAATTAAACTCAATATAATTGTTAAAAATACTTTGTAGAGGCATTTGAGAAAGCTTTTGTCAAAATACTTTGTTTTTAATTGTTAAAAACATTTGTAGAGGTATTTTGCAAAACATAATTGAGATGATATGATAATGCTTCCACCTTAACCGCTATCTAAAGTATAATTAAGATAATGGTTAATGGTTAAGTGCTATTAGAAGTTCACTTTTAAGAGCTGTCCTCGTGGAACCGCTTATCTAAAATGTATTAGCGCTTGAGCGACAATATTATCGCCGAGCGAAACTCCAAGTGCACAAAATTCGCATTTCTGGGTGTATTTCGCTTGAGCGACACTTTTCTCGCTCGAGCGAAATACGATCCTGATCGATCATAACTTGAAATGACCGATTATAATTGAGAGGATATAATAGCGTTCCTCTAACCGCTATCTAAAGTGCATATTAGATATCTCGAGGTGTATTTCGCTTGAGCGAGACTACTATCGCTCAAGCTAAGTCCGATTCTGATCGATTATATTTTCAAAATGACCGATCATATTTGATAATTTTTTCAAATAATTAATTATAATCGATTAGTTTTCTAAATTATTGATTAGAATTGATTAGTTTTTCAAATAATATATTAGAATTGATTAATTTCTAAATATATACTAAAAAATTATAAT